AATCTATGGAGTCCAATCATATTTTACCTTTATGTCGTTTCACCAATGACCGCTCTAAATTTTGTCGTTTGAATGTCGGATGCCACTAACATGTTTTGATAACCTTGTAAGTCAAACCACCACCATTGCGCGTGGACGTTGCAACGCCAAAGCGTCATCTGCCCACATGATGCGGTTCCTCGGATCGATCACATTAAAAACCTACATGAACATGTTGTCGAGTCAACCCCAATGTAAGTAGTTGCTTCATTTTGTGTCTACAGCCTTGTAGCATCTACTTCGAAGTATATTCACTACTACTGTACCTCTGTTTGGTAACAATTGCAGACAATTCGAAAATGTTACGATACACTTCACGGATTGGCCCAAAATTGAGTGGCTAAATAGCTCTCGTCGAGTTCTATCGCACAGTATTTTTGTTTCAATTTTATTTGCACAACTGCCAACACAGCTGCATGCAAAGTCTACATACAAAGTCCAAGTCAAACTTTACCAATGAGCAACGAGGAGCTGTAAACGAAGCTTCTTCTACGCAGTGTCGACGGCAAGGTCACACGTGCATCCATTGCGACCATTGCGCAAGCGTTCGGTGTCCACCCCTCGACCATATCCAGGATATGGCAACGCGGCCGAGCGAAGGCAAGTCCAGGCTGCCGATCCGACGTGTCCTCCTGAATGAACAAAACAGGGCGACGTAAAACCTACACAATCAGTGAGATCGAGCAGCGGATTAAGGCAACACGTTTGACTCAGCGTCAGACGCATCGTACATTGTCAACAGCCGTTGGAGTCTCGACTTGGATCATTTGGAACTACATCAAGCACAAGTGAGTAACATGTCGATCAAACTGGACAAAACCGAAGCTCAAAATCTGAGCAATTGCTTCAGCGCTTCGACTTTTGCACAAATCTTCTTCAGGACTACAGTAAGAGCAATAAATCTTGGGATCACAAGTGCAGTTTATGAGTAGTGACTAAGGTGAATTAGATAAACACCATAGGAATAACAATAGAACTGATCACTTGGTAAGAGACCCATGAACTGATCAATGACAAAATGTCTACTTGATGTACTCTCGCAATTTATTAAGCTCATTCAAACAGTTTGTCACTGAGTAAATGATTGTTCGTTGGTATTCCTGACGATTCACAAGGCATACTAAGATATAGCGGAGTCTCGACATCATTTGAGCCACTTCATCGCATGGCGATCTCGTGGATATGATACTACTCTGGTCCGGAATAGTTGTCCCATTGTTTTTGGATTGGCGGAATTTTTCCAAAAGTTGTCCAAATGGCGTGATCATTGGTGCAATGGG